TGGGGGGGGGGGGGGGGGGGGGTGGTTCTGTGCAGGGTGTTGGTGGGGGCGGAGGGGTGGGCGGGTGGTTCTGTGCAGGGTGTTGGTGGGGGCGGAGGGGTGGGCGGGTGGTTCTGTGCAGGGTGTTGGTGGTTGCAAGGGCACCCTGGCCTGGGAAACCTGCTGGTCCAGGCTTCTGATTGAAGTGGTGATGGGGTAAGATCCTCCCTGGGCTCTCTCCCCACGCCAGCCCCAGCACAGCGGTGGAGGGGAAGATCCTACTCGGACCTCGTGGTTGTGCCATGCACACCCCAACACTCCTCCTGGTCTCAACCACACGTTACATCAAAGGGCTGGTTGCTTGTGGAGCTTTGGGCTACGTGCTTGGCCTGCTCCCCTGAAACCTGCCGGTATCAAGGGACACATAGGCAGGGAGGAAGGCTCCTCCCGAGCTGTGCAGCCCAGTTCTCGGGTTCAGAAAGGGCTCCTGCTGGTTGGGCTGAGAGGGGAATGGCTTGGCAGGGGGATGGGAAAGGAGAGGCTCTAGATACAATCCCAATTGCAATGCCTTGGGCTTTGGAATGATGACAGAAAATTTTCCTGCTCGCATTTGTTCTCATTTAGCTACAGCTTGTTCACCAGGATGTTTTTCAAGGAGGGTCTGGTCAGCATTGACAAAGGAAAGTCTCTTATTTCCCAAGCATGCTTATCACTTTGTCCTTGACAACGATGGGAACTTGCGGCACTTTTTTTTTTTCATTTAGAGGCAAACATGAGAAAGCCTGCCTTTGCAGGCAGCTTTGTACGGGTTTTCCAGTGTGCTGAATCACGCCAGACAGATAAAGTTTCCCCAAAGTGTTGTTGGCTTTGCAGATGTTGGACCTGGGGAAGTTGGGTGGGAGGGGGAGGAGAATTAGTATCTGAAGTTCAAATAAAGTACCTGCCATCGCTTGGGGAGATGTGGTTTGGTGTAGGATGAACACTAAAATCTTGAGTATTTTAAACAACTTCACAAATACGGAGGGTTTGTGCCTGGAAGAAGCAGCATTGGTGGGGTGATGTTGCTTAACCACAGGAGCGGGGAATGGTTTGGAGCTGCAGGATAAAGCTGAGGCTGCCCACACAGAAGCAGTTGATGTTTGCCCTCTGCCCCCCCTTCGTGTGAATGCTCAGATGGTTCAGGCTGAGGGGCGTGAATCAGGAGCTCATGTTTTAAGATAGATAGATATTTTCAAAGTACAAGGTTTTTTAGATGCTGATATCATTTTACATAGGGATTTGCTGGAGATGATGGAGTGCTTGTGGGGCAGACTTAAAAAGCATGCATGAAAAGGATGATTCCTAAATCTCCCAGCTCTCTGGGAGAGTGAAACCTCCGTGCTCCGTATGCCTTTGAAAATTTCCTTTTTGTCTTTAGAACTTTGATTATTTTATATTTGTTTTCTGTTACCCATATGGATCCTCAAAGTGGTTTTATCTCTGTATCTAGAGCAACGCCTGCTACTTGGTAAGATTTAAGGACATAAGCACCCTGCATAGCGAACATCTTTTGCTGCAGGAAAGTGAATTGCGGAGGAAACCGTTCCCTTCCGAGCGCTGGTATAAAAGCGACGGCCAGCGGAGGTGTACGGGTGTTCTTGAGAAGCTGCAAGACCTAATGTCACGTATTGGCACTACCCTTGCAAGCTCAAGGCCTTATTCTAGTGTCACAGGGAAGTTTTGCAAGTACAAGGAATCCCCTCTTTAGTGTCATCCCTTTTCCTAGTAGAGGGATTTGGGAAATGTCTTGTTTGAAGGAATACAGTCAAAACAATAAAGGCTAATTAATAAGGGCCCTGTCCTGTTGATGGGACTTGTTTTCCTTAACCCTCAGCCAGCATGCGTACCGGGTTATGATGCATAAAAATGGGCAGAATATTAGTATATCTCGCTAACTGAACGCTATGCGCTCTAACTTTTTCTTTTGCTTACCGTCTGTTAAACCTGGCCGTTTCAGCAGCGCGGCAGCGGAGAGATGCAGTGCCGGGATCTGCCTGGGTGCAAACGCCTGGAGGGCGCCGCACCCACCAGCTGGCACGGCCGCTGTCCCCCGCCTGGCCCAAAAGGCAGACTAGATGTATTAAGACAGTGATCAATAGTGGGGAAAGTGCTAGAAGTGCAACCAGAGCAAGACGCTTTGCAGTCGCATTCAGGTTTTGGCTGCTGTCCTCCTCCTGACTTATCACGCCCCAAAAAAGCCATTCCTACCTGCAGAGTAGAAAGCAACTCAAACGCGATGTATTCATACACCCAGCAAGAAGCACCGGCTGTGTATTTCAAGAAAATTAGAGCATAACTGTCAGCAAGAAGAAAATTTGGTGCCTGAATGTGGCTTTTAATTTTCAGTGTTAAAAAACCCCAACCCAACAACCACTCCTGGTGTAAGCCTTGTACCCGGTCCGATTTCCCTGACAAAATTTAAGTCATCGGTAACATGAGGTTGCGGGTGGGTTGGCTTGAAATTTTCCTTTCCCCTCTGTTAAAACTAGACGTAGAAGAAATGTTGCTCGCTTTCCTTTTCCCAGAGGGTCGTTGGAGCTGCAGGCAGAGCACCCCGGCACGTCTCGGGGATGGAGCCGAGGCGGGCTGTGTCTCCTCCGCGGTCGCTTGGTGGGGACGGCGCCGCGTGCTCGCGAAAGCGTTTATGAAGATAGTGATCCCGAATGTGCTCTGATGACTGTGTAACGGCCGAGTGTGGAGATGCTCTGTTCCAGGGACTGAAATTTCAGATTTCCTATAGCGTATGCACCAATTCTCTTACTTTGGCTAGTGTTTTGTGGCTGCCGTCATCTTATACTCCGTGGCTTCCTAGACTGATCCCGCAGTTTCAGGCTGTATTTTTTTTCCTTCACTATTGCAGTGGAGGAGTGCATTGAATCTGAAGTCGAAGCCGCTTGTGTAGCATTTCCCAGGATTTGGACCTTTCGGTGCATGTGGAACACTGGTGTGTCGTACTGGAAGGCAGAAGGATGCAGCTGGTTTCCATTTGGGAGCTTCCAGCAGGAGCGTGCTTGTTGAGCAGTGATGTGCAGGGCTCAGAGATTAATGCTCGTGTTTCTCTTTCCCCAGAGATCATCGACGACCTCACTAACCTGGTTGAAAACACGGACGACAAGCTTCGCAACCAGACGCGGCATGTGAAGATGGTGGATAAGAAATCAACGTCCTGCGGTAGGAAGTGGCTTGAGCACAAATCCTCCCCTGTTATTAAATGATGAGAAACCAGTCTAGCGCTCGGAGGCTGGGTGCAATCTGCTCCCCCCCAGGACGGCTTCTTTTAAAAGTTAAAAACCCCCACCTCTCCAAACTCAAACGCGACCTTAGCTGCCGCTGCAGGTTTGACTCACTCAGTGTTGATGCAGTTAACCTCCTGAAGCCGTTTGACTCCAGCATTGCACAATGTTCTGATCGGAAATTGTAGAACGGTATGAAACGAGTGCGGTACGTGTTAATTAGGTTTAAAAAACTTGCTAGCTACCAGCTCTCACAAACCGGTCTCAGCGGGGATCGATGCCGCAGGGACATTTCTGGTGGTGTCCTGCAGGAATGTGTTCTCAACCAAGTGGCATTCACGCTCTGCCAGCCGTGAAATCCTTGCTGGTGACTCTTCAAGCCACAAGCAAGCTGGTAAAGCTAAACTGGACTCCTGTTCCATGTCGCCAAAGCGAGGTTGTACATCTCAAGGGCGTGAGTGCAGGTTTCCTCTCGAGGATGAGGAGCTGGGGGGTTGCAGTGGCTGCGGGAGGATGCCGTGGGGGACGCAGACAATGTCGGTATCTTGGGGGAGCAAACAGCATCTCCGCTTTTGGTGTCTGTGGCTCGGTTTTGGCACTCTAGAGGACTCAAAATGCTAACAAGACTAATTTCTGCTCTGTAGAAATTTGACTTGTAGCCAGAAGTTAATGAAATTTGGCTTATGTAGTTCAGTGTAGAGAAAGTTGAGAGCTGACTTGGTCACACATCTGGGTGGAGAAAGGGTTTCTGGCTGGTGGGCAGCTTTTGTTCCATAGAGTGGTGATCTAGCAGCGAAAGCGACCGAGCTCAGACCGGCAAGGAGATGTTTTTCAAGCACTGACAATCTGTTTCAGGGATTTATTTGGTTCTTCATCAGTCATAACTTTTTGAAAGCTGGGCTGATATAGGTTGATGAAAATCTGTGGCCTCTTCTGGAGGTTAAAGCTGACTTGTCAGAGGTGTGTGTCTCTGATTTCTCTCGTACCAACTACAGATAGAATTAAAGGCGTGACTGCAGAGTTCACGACTGGCTTTTTTATTTTAGATCTTTAATGTTGATGCAAGATGGATTTCATCTAAAAACAATCGCACTTGAATGACGCTGAGTGCCCCTGCGTGCCTTTGGAGTCTCCCCTTCATTTCTGCAGGTTCATTTTCTGCACGAGTACAGGGAAGCACGACGCCAAATGCCTGCGCAGGGCAGGCACTGAACCCCATTTCGTCCAGGACAGCTTCTCCCTCCTTAGGTATTTCTCCCCCTTTTTGGGTTCCTCATGCAAATGCAGCCCCCGGACGACGTCGCTGGGTACTGAGCCTGTCTCTTTAACTCGAAAGCCCATGCTGGCCATGCTGGGGAATTTGAGAGGAGGAGGATGGGAGAGGCGAAGGCTGGGAGGATCCAGGGCTGGATTCCTTGGGGGTGACCTCTCTCACCCTTTCCACATTGAAAAACATTTTTCTGCAAGGGGTGGTGAGAAGCGCTGCCGCTGGTGCCTGGTCCCTCTGCTCCAATAGGTCTTCCCGTGTTTGCATAACAATTTGGGCATATGTAAACAGGCTATTGCCTCAGATAGCTGTTTTACTCGGCCTGAGCATGAGTTTTAGAACAATAACGCGGGAAGACACAGCCTTTAACGGCATTCTTCCCATCCCTTTTCCACCCTTATCCCTGGCGCTGGAAACATCTCGCATATTAAGATCAGAAAAACCCTCTGTGTATGTACAATTATTCCTTGAACAAAGCCAAGCAGCGGGAAAACTGGCACCTGCTAGGTAATTTTTTCAAAGTGCTTTTTTTCTCCCCTCCAACGTTTCATTTCAATTGATAAAATCTTTAGTAACTCTTTGGTTTCTGCGCTGTTCCTTCGGATTTAAACCGGGGTAAAGTGCTCAGTCTTGCCCTTGCCCACCCCTTCCTTCCCCGGGATGCAGACGTTGGCTTGGACCCAGGCTCTGCGATATTCCAGCATGTGCCTGTGTCCGTGGTTTTGCCTCATTTTGGAAATCAGAATGTCTTTTTATTTTTCTGATGAGTGCCTGTACTGGAGCCACTGGCTGTGGATACAAGCAGAGCAGCCTGGCGTGAATAAGGGGAAAATCACCCATTT